AACCCATTTCCTATATGGCCAAGGATCTAGAACAAGTTTTTCCAGTGATCTGCCTCTATGTCCTCTTCTCCTGGAGCTGGGTTAACTAGAAAGCCAGGCTCCTTAGACAGATTGAGGTTTAGATGATGAAGGAAAGGCCTTAGTCCCTAGTGTAAAGCTAGGCAGAATGAAGGAACTCAACCAACCATCACTGGACAGAGACCAGTATGAGCTTCGACGCCCCATTTGCATGCCCCCCCTTGGTGCCTGCCTCTCTGCTCCCATTCCTTAAGACATCTCATTACCTGGGAACTGTCCGACCTGCTGTGGGAAGGTGCTTTGTGTTGGGTCTTGGTACTGGGGTGGTGGGCGGGTCAGATGGCGCTGAAACTGCTGCTTCTCCTAGAAAATGCCAAGAACAATAAAACAGCAAACCCACAGAAAACAAAAACAAAAAAAGAGGTCAGAGAAAACTAAATTGTTCAAGTGTGTTACCCACAAATGGGCTCCTGTTGAAATAGTGCTAATGATTTCAATTTGGGGGGTTTTAATGAATAATATGAAATGAACCTATGGAGCAAAGAATAAAAAACAGGTAGGTCTATCAGTTTAAAAAAATTAGAGGGCAGACTGGGAAAATGCAAATCAAAGCCATGACAAGATCCTACTTTATACCTACTAGGATGGCAAGATTCAAAGAATCAGATTTTTTTTTTTTTTTGAGACAGAGCCTCAAGCTGTCCCCCTGGGTAGAGTGCTGTGGCATCAGCTCACAGCAACCTCCACCTCCTGGGCTCAAGCGAGTCTCCTGCCTCAGCCTCCCAAGTAGCTGGGACCACAGGTACCCACCACAATGCCCGGCTATTTTTTGGTTGCAGCCGTCATTGTTGTTTGACCCGGGCTGGATTTGAACCCGCCACCTTAGGTGTATGTGGCTGGCGCCTTAGCCACTTGAGCCACAGGCGCCAAGCCGAAGAATCAGATGTTAACAAGCATTGCTGGTGAGAATATAAAATGGTGTAGCCACTATGGAAAACAGTCTGCCAGTTCCTCCACAGGTTAAACCTAAGAATTAGCGCATGATTGAGCAATTTCACTCCTAGGTATATATCCAAGAGAAATTAAAACATGTCCACATGAAAACTTATACATGAGCATTCACAGCAACATTCCTAACAGCCAAAAAGTAGAAACAACCCAAATCTTTGTCAACAGATGAGTGAATAAAATGTAGTATACCCACACAATGGAATCTTACCCAGCTACAAATAGGAATGAATTATAGATACATAGTACATGGTTGGATCTTGAAAACATTTATATGAATGTCTAGAGTAGGCAGGCAAGTCTGTAGAGACAGTAAGTAGCTTAGTGATTGCATAAGTCTGGGGCGTCAAGAGGGTGAGAGAATGGCCGCTCACGGGTACATGAAGTTTGTTTTTGAATGATGGAAATGTTCTACAATCAACTGTGATGATGGGTACACAAAGAATGTACTAAAAACTGTTGAGTTGTTCACTTTCAATGTTATGTGAATTATATCCCAATAAGGGTGTTTTTTTTTTTTTTAAAGAGACAAGAGTCTCACTTCGTTGTCCTCAGTAGAGTGCCATGGCATCACAGCTCACAGCAACCTTCAGCTCTTGGGCTTAGGCGATTTTCTTGCCTCAGCCTCCTGAGTAGCTGGGACTACAGACACCCACCACAATGCCTAGCTAGTTTTTATTGCAGTTTGGCCAGGGCTGGGTTCAAACCACCACCGGTGGGCCGGTACCCTACTCACTGAACCACAGGTGCTGCCCTGGCTGTTATTTTTTTAAATGGAAAATTTAGGCAGTGATCATCTTCAATCTGGAGCTAGTTCTTGTGTCTTAAGATGTAATTTAAAACCTTACAAACTCTCACTTGTAACCCTTAGTGCCTGTAAACTATACTTGGTGACCAAGTGAGTGAACTGTGTTATTCTGATTTTATTTTATTTATTTATTTTTTGAGACAGAGCCTCAAGCTGGGTAGAGTGCCAGAGCATCACAGCTCACAGTAACCTCCAACTCCTGGGCTCAAGTGACTCTCCTGCCTCTGCCTCCCAAGTAGCTGGGACTATAGGCGCCCACCACAATGCCTGGCTATTTTTCAGTTGCAGCCATCCTTGTTATTTGGCGGGCCTGGGCTGGATTCGAACTCGCCAGCTCAGATGTATGAGGCTGGTGCCTTAGCCATTTGAGCCACAGGCGCCGAGCCGGTTGTCCTGATTTTAGAACCTCAAGCACATCATCATTCTTCATGCTCTGACCTATAAAACATTATATTTATAGCAGTGGTTCTCAACCTTCCTAATGCCAGGACCCTTTAGTAAGTTCCTCATGTTGTGGTGACCCCCAACCATAAAAGTATTTTTGTTGCTACTTCATAACTGTAATTTTGCTACTGTTATGAATTGTAATGTAAATAGCTGATATACAGGATGTATTTAGGCAACCCCTGTGAAAGGGTCGTTTGACCCTCCAAAAGGATTGTGACCCACAGGTTGAGAACCGCTGATTTATAGCAAACCCAGGCTCTACAGCTGATGGACAGACAATTGAGTTCAGTGGTTTGGAAGCTGCCAACTAGTGATAAGGAAAAATGCCCCTTACATGAACAGTTTTTAGCTATAGATTCCATCTTTATTAAATCCCTCTAAGTGACATAAAGCAGCTTCTGACATAGACTACTGGTATCTGAGAAATGCCATACTCCTGAAGATTTTTTTGTTTGTTGGTTTTTGAGACAGAATCTTACTCTGTTGTCCAGGCTAATGTGTGGTGGCTATCAGCCTAGCTTACAGTAACCTCAAATTCCTGGGTTGAAGTGATCCTCTCTCCTCTGCCTCCCAAGAGTGCTAGGATTACAGGCATAGCCACCGTGCCCAGGCCTAGAGAGGGCATTTTAAAAGGTAAAGTTTATAGAGTATACCAGGCCTGCAAAATCAGTGCAAATCTACATGAACAAGTAGAGCTTGTGAAGACTCAGGAAGCAGGCAAAGGTAGGGAATAGATGATTTTCTTTGACCTTTCTTTTTACCTGTTCTGCCAGAAGGTGCTGTTGCCTTTGAAGGAACTGCTGTTGCAAATGCTTTTGCTGCTGCTCCCTCTGTTTCTGTTGATCCAAAAGCAACTGATGCTGCTTCATTACAGCTGCCTGTTGCTGGCTGCTGAGATAGGGGGAGCTGTTGTGAGAGCTGGCCACAGACACAGTAGGAGGTTGGGTCCCAACACTGGAGGCCTGGGCTGGCACAGGGACGCTGGAAGGGTTCTGGTCCTGTCAACAAGAAGAGCTGGTGAAGTCTCCAAGTTCTGATCAGACCAGATAGGCCCAGTGAGAGCCTCATTCAAGGCTCACTCTCTTGAAGCTGAGCCTCTGCTTCCCTGATGACTCCAATAACCGCAACATCCACAGGGCTGGGGCACAGCCCAGAGTGATGACGTCTGAGCATGCAGGCACTTAGAAATGAACAACTACTTCCCACTGGTTAGCCTGCTCACTATGATTCACTATGGCAAAAGTGTGGGTTCTACATTAAGTATATTTAAGATCTCATATTTACACATGATAGTTCCAGTAAGCAATCAAGGCTTATAAACACTTGATTATCAGAATGTCCAAATGCAGAGGGGACCCACAGAACATTCTGAAGAGAGCTTTAGTTGACAGAGACACACTGTCCCATGTGCATGAACCTTGGTTTTGGCACTGTTCGTGTACTGTTTGGAAATGTCTGCCTGTCTACTTGTGTACAAGCATTTTACTGGCAAGAGAATGCTTAGCTTTGTCAGATACCCATGCTCAAAAAATGCAGAGTCTCAATGAGAACTTTAATAGATATTTTCTGTTAACACATAAACCAGAAGAGTCATAGCAAAGGCTACCACAGTATTATCCTAACATCATAACTTAGATTTAGAAGGAGAAAAACTAAGCACAGGAAGAAGGCAAAAAGCAGTTATTGTTTAGACAAGTTCAACCTTTTGAGCTCCTTTACAGTTCTTATTCACTTGTATATTTAATCTGCTCAAGATTCTAACTTTAAATTCTGTGTTGTGATTTCTTCAACCCCAGATATCAGCTTTAGTACTGAGAATAAGGTGCAAAGTACTACTACTCAGATGGTAACATTTATCACTGTGCTGCTTTGCCTCTTCTAAGGTTGTGTTTAATGGCTGTGTAACATTTTAATGGCTGAAATAAGTGGAAGTCTCAACATTTACACATGGATTTTCCTATTGGGAGATGCTTAAATGGCTTCCAGGTTTTGGGTATTAGAAATAATCATGTAGGGGCGGTCCTGTGGCTCAAAGGAGGAGGGGGCCAGACCCATGTGCCGGAGGTGGAGGGTTCAAACCCAGCCCTGGCCCCAAACTGCAAAAACAAAAACAAACAAACAAAAAGAAATAATCATGTAGCTGCCTTGCTCTTTCCCCTGCTGGTACCTCCCCCAATAAAAACAGCAGTCAGAGGAGTGGAAGGGTAGGGACTGGCATTTTAAAATGTAAAGAAAAAAAAGAAAGAATAATTCAATGAATATCTCTTGTATGTAACTTTTTTACTCTGAATTTTTTCTTTTTTTTGTTTTTGAGACAGAGCCTCAAGCTGTCGCCCTGGGTAGAGTGCTGTGGCATCACAGCTCACAGCAACCTCCAACTCCTAGGCTTAAGCGATTCTCTTGCCTCAGCCCTCCAAGTAGCTGGGACTACAGGCACCTGCCACAATACTCAGCTATTTTTTGGTAGTAGTTGTCACTGTTGTTTGGCAGGCCCAGGCTGGATTAGAACCTGCCAACTCTGGTGTATGTGGTTGGTGCCTTAGCTGCTTGAACTATAGGCACTGAGCCAAGGGTTTTAAAATTTTTGATTTTTAAAATTTTAGAATGTACTACAACTACACAAAGGTGTGCACTACAGGCTTATAGTAGTGAGAAACTACTCACTACTCTCATTGTGAGAGACAATGTCAAGAGCTGTTTCTACCCTATGTAACCCTGTGCTTCTGCTAGGCTTGAGCATCATGACTAAGTAACTGGAGGGTTTGGGTGTGCTGGGAAGGCATACACCTAAAATGTTACACACTTAAAAAAAACTAAGGGATTTTGAACAGAGATCTGACAGGTATAAAAAAGCAAAAGCTCTAAGAAGCACACTGAATGTGATATTTACCTGCAAAAGCACAGCCACAAATGCCTTAAATACTATGGTATGAAACAGACACTGGTCTAAATGCAAGCAATTTCTTAAATGTTTATGTAGTTAAAATCAAATTACACTAGGTAATTTTACACTATTTTTGTTTACACAGAATCAACTCTGGTTTATTTTATAATTTTTTACTCCCAAGGAAGTCAAAGAACATAGCTGCTTCTTGTCTGTTCCATGAGTACCTTGGACCCAGTTCACATCCAAGTTAGCAAGTAACCTCACTGAAGTATAAATAGCTGTAGCAGGAACAGAAAAGGAAGCCAAATACTTACCTGGCCAGGTGGAACTAGCGATCGGAAGGGCATATTTCCTGGTTTTGGTTTCATCAGAAACAAGGGGTTTTGCTCATTGTTCATATGAGACAGCTGGGGGAGATAAGCCATCAGGGTTGGCTTGCTCTGGCCAGACCCAGGGCTGCCTTGCCCACAGTCTGCTTTGTAATGAGAAAGGGGTTTTGTATTGCCATAGTCCAGCACTGACCCTGGGTTATTCACAGAGTTCTGATTCAGGTTACTTGGTGGCTGGTGACTCAACAGGTTCACATGGCTGGACTGGAGGTAGGGACCTCCAGGCCGAGGGGAACTCTTGTTTACACTAGGCATCATGAGCAGTTTGGAGTTAGTGAAGTCTTGCTTATAGCTAGGAGGGCTGGCAGGCTTCTCCAGGGGGTAAGGGACATCTAAGGGACTGTGGGAAGGCCCCGTCTGTTGCCATGTGGACATCTGGCTGGGGGCTGGAGCAGTCTGCTGTGGATTTTGGAGCAATTGCTCACGCTTCTGCTTGGCAGCAATCTGTTGGAGTTGGTGGGCAGAGGACAACTCTGAGGTCCCTCCTGGACCCTGGCTAGGCAACACTACATTTGGGAGGGCTCTTTGTGTACTCTGGGCTTGGGCTGATGCCGGCATCAGGCTTGGACTGGTATTGTCTGCTCCAGGCTGACCAGAGGTGTGGAACAGGGTCTGAGAGCCCCCTAGGCTGGGGGAATCTGTGCTCACAGGGGCAGATGAAGGCCCCAGAAAGGTCTGTCCTGCAGACCCAGCCCTCACTTGTGGAGAGCCTAACTGTTCTTGCTCAAAGGCTGCTGGAGAAAATTCTGTCTTAATATTAATGTCCTGTGCCAAAGGGGTTTGTGTGGTAGAACCAGAAGATTCTGGGTCCTTCTTTTCCTCAAAGTCCTCAGTAAACAGGTCCTTCATGTCTTCATCGGGCACTGACCTGTTCAGCTCCTCGATGAGCTCCTTCCATTCCTGCTCATTCAGGTTGAGGTCAGGCATGAGGTTGCTTTGCGATATGGAGCCCCCAGCCCCAGCAATCATGCAAGGCAGGTCATCGACAGGCTCTTGCTTCAGTTCTTTACTCAGGCTCAGAGGAAATGACTCACTGGGGTTACTGCCTCCATTCAGGTGGAGGCTTGAGTCTGCCAGACATTTTTTGTTGATAGAGTCTAGCCCCAAAGAGTGCTTCCCACTGGACTGCAAGGCATCTCCCCCAGGAGGCTTATCAGGCTTTCCGCGTGGGGAGGCTGGAGGCAGTCCATTGGAAGAGATGGCTACTCCCAGAGGGACTTCCCGGCGGGTCTTCTTATGCCCAGGAAAGAGGTCTCCATAGCCATTCTGTTGATCACCATTCTGAGGGGAGGAGGCGCTGTCAAGATTCCTCTTCACTGTATCATGAAGATGCTGAAAAACATTGAAAAAGAGATTTAGGTGCACACTACCATGCATTAGGCTACCCTTTCTTACAGCAGCAACTGAAGCTAGGGGCCTGTGCCCTGCAATGCTCCTGGAGGTCTCCTGTCCAGTGTCACTCCCCTCTTCTGGGAACACATCTCTGTCCCTTGACAATGCTGTTCTCACCAGTTCTGTACCCAGCAGGTCAGAATCAATGTCTAGCTGAGCCTTAGGAAATGTCAGTCCCTGGACTTCTGCAGTCCTCTCTTTTGGCAGGATACTGGCCTGATGCTGCCCACAGCCTTCTCGTTTGCCCAAGAAATGGAGTCAACCAAAAAGAGTCAAAGGATATAAACACATTTTTGAGTATGTCACTGGTGCCCTGGACCCAGCAGTACCTAACACCAGGCACCCTCCTAGACTTTCTCCTTATATGAACCAATAAATTCCTTCTTATGGTAAGCCAGTTTAACTCGAATTTCTATTGCTGTCAACCGAAGGAGCCCTGACAATAAGGTCTTTCTCTCAGGTCTTGGTGAGTGCTGACCATAGCACCATACCTCTACCTAGCTGCACAGGTCAGTCTTCATGCCCTCCTCAGCCACCTCTTTTTTCCAGGCTGGGCCACTCCCTCATATGCCATACAGGCATCTGCCTTTCAGCTCCTGTCCTACCAACCTGCTCTTCTGCTTCCAACCACCACCCTCATAGACCTGCCACTTCATAAAGACCATGCATTTGAACACAATCATGGTTGATTCAGCACCATTATTATTTACTTCCCATTTTCTCCTCAACTAGATTCCTTCAGCTAACCTTATTAAGAATCTATCTTGTCCCAGAGACAAGTGTTATAGGGAATATAAAGATGAATAAGGTAGTTCCTGCTTCATGGGCTTTCAGACTTCTAGGACATGGAACATGGCTACAGAATAAACAGTATTACCCTGAGAGTTCTAGGGCAGAGCTTTTGGGATAGAGACAGAAGGGGGAGAAAAGAAGATGGTATCTTTCCATTATTTTCTCAGCCTCAATTTCAGCTGCCAGGATCTGACTCTTCTACTGCCCAGAGGAGGTGCTTTTGCTTAGCCTCTAAACACATGCTGCTCCTTTCCCATGTTTACTTGTATTATAATTCTACATTTCATCCCCCATCCCCAATATCATCCCTCTGCTCACTTATAGTAACTGTGCCCAGTCTGTTATTGAAATATGTTCCAAATAACAGCTCTAATTATTACCTTTAAGAGATTTGAGAGGAGCCAACACTCTGTGCTGCTCCTCCTGTTGCAGAGAAGGGCCACCCTGACGACGACACCCAACCTAGGAGCAAAATGCAAAAGTATACCAACCTGGGTGTCCTGCCCAAGGTAACTCTGTGGGCACCAGCTCTCAGTAGCACACTACTCACTGTACAACAGGGAGGACCATTTTTCAACCTCTAAGTCCCAATTCTAAGGCTTCCTTTCCCCCCCATGTTGAGATGTTCTCAACTATTAAAGCTGACTGCACAAAGCTCCATAAATCCTAGTCAGTATTTCCTTTTTTTTTTGGAGACAGAGTCTCAAGCTGTCACCCTGGGTAGAGTGCCGTGGCACCATAGCTCACAGCGACCTCAAACTCTTAGGCTTAAGCGATTCTCCTGCCTCAGCTTCCCACGTAGCTGGGACTATAGGTGCCTGCCTCAACACCCGGCTATTTTTTGGTTGTAGTTGTCATTGTTGTTTGGCGGGCCCATGCTGGATTTGAACCCCCCAGCTCAGGTGTATGTGGCTGGTGCCCTAGCCATTTGAGCTACAGGAGCAGAGCCCTAGTCAGTATGTCTTTAATTCCATACATGGGTACCTAAGTTGGTCTGGGGAAAAAGAACAAAACCAAACCAGGAATTCTTGACAAATGGAACTATAGGGCAAAAGTAAGTTACTAGCACCTAATTCAAGAACATGACCAACTGCTGAAGGACCTTTGTTTTACTTTCACATAGGCTCTTCTGCTTCTTACTGCCACCTAGAGGTGGAAGGGGACAGGAACCATGCTCCTGAAAGGGACTTTTATAAAATCTATTGTTTGAAAAGTTTCCCTTTGGGGAAGGTAAATTCATACCAATTTTTATTTATTTATTTATTTATTTTTTGAGACAGAGCCTTAAGCTGTCACCCTGGGTAGAGTGCCCTGGCATCACAGCTCACAGCAACCTCCAACTCGTAGGCTCAAGTGATTCTCCTGCCTCTGCCTCCCAAGTAGCTGGGACTACAGGCGCCCTGCCACATCACCCGGCTATTTTTTGGTTGCAGCTGTCATTGTTGTTTGGTGGGCCTGGGCTGGATTCAAACCCGCCACCTTAGGTGTATGTGGCTGGCGCCTTAGCCACTTGAGCCAGAGGCGCTGAGCCAATTCATACCAATTTAGTTGGTTAGAGAAAATAAAAATTAGTTGCTAAAATTTCTCGGATTCTTTTTCTATTATTTCCTTTTGCTCCACCAACAATGCCAGGTCTGAGCTGTTTGCAAACCTGGGAGCTCAGTTTTCCATTTTCCTCAGAGGAAAGATGGAAACCTGAGGGGTCAAGGTACTTCATGGTCATCCCAGACTAGAAACAGAATCCTTCTTTGCCCTGACATTTATAAAAGTTACCATTCCCTCTTTCAAAATCCATATGCAAACAGCTGCAGACAAGTTCCAAAATAACAACTCACTTTTGCAATACCAATTGCTTTTAGTGAAAAGAAACACTGGGGCATTTTCTCAACTATTCACAAAATTTAACAGTAATGATGTAGGCAGGAATGGGCAGTGTGGAATGTGGTAGTCCTGGTGGAATTTTTGGCCTTGAGCTTTCACAGAGTGCCTGATATGTGCAGGGCACTGCAGAGGAAGGCAAGGATGACTAAGCCTTCAAGCCTAATTCCAGGAATTTTCAATAGAGGTGGGCAAACAGCCTGAACATATTAAAAGTTATGTAAGAACAAACAGAAGATGCTGTAAGCAATATAAAACTTTCATTATATCAATACAAAAAAAAATAAAAAAATAAAAACAATACATGGCTCCTGCCGATAGAATGGTATTTGTGCACAGGGCTCCCAGAGGATACAGTCCTGGGAGAGAATGAATCAGATTGCTTGTGGTCTGCTGGTGAATGGCCATGTGCTCACTAAGTTAGCCTTCCATCAAGGCCCACACAGGCCTGACTCCCACTGGACAGTTCTAGTTCCCTCCTGGAAGGACTGTGCCTCCAGATGCCACCCCTATCCATCTTCTGCTCTGGGAGAGATTCTAGGATATCGACACTGCTCTGAATCAAACTGGAGCTAGCCACACCTTGTGGACCACTAAGCAGCATCCTGTTATCCACATGCGTGTGTGTGTGCGCGCGCACACACACACACACACGCACACACACACTAGCCTAACAGGATGGTCCCTGGCCCAGTTTTCACTTCATCCTTCTTCAACCACCCACTGCTGCAATCTCAGGGTGCTCTGCGATCAAACTCACCTAAAAATGACGGCACTTAAACTTTTCCACTTTCAGTTAGCAGATGTGGTTGTCAGAGACAGGTGTGGCATTCTCTTCAGTGCTTCCTATGCATAGGTACCCACCTGGGATAGCCACCGCTGCTTCATGCCCTTCCTCACTAGGAAACTTGCTTCTCCCTTTTCTTGGCTGCTTCTGTCATCCTCCTATCAGCCAAGCACCACCCATCCCTACCCCTGTCAGCCAGGACCTTGGTCTACTGCAATATTGGTCACATCCCTCACTAATCTGGGAGGGAGGTGGGAGCTGAGAAGGGCTGCCTTCTCTGAAGGCCAGTGATTATCTTCATGCTGTCACACGCAGGCTGTTTGTTCAGTCCTTCCTTTCCTCCTCTCCCCCTTCCTCCACCATCTGCCACTGAATTCCTTACATCTTTAAAGTTTTCTTTCCTCATATGTTTTTTTTTTTTTACAACATTCTCTTGCCTTCCCTTCTACTTTTCTGGTTCTTTCTTCTCAGTCTCCTTTGAAAAGTCCCCTCTTCTCCTGCCCCTCAATTAAATACTGAAGTCCTAAATTCTTGGAAGATGGAAGAGGTAGCAACCCTCATCAGAGGCTCCTGAGCAGAGGAAGAAAAACTGGACAGAATCAGACTCTATAAAGCCAAAGAAGGGAGCTGAGCCAAGAAAGTTCGGCAAGCTGTAACTCATGAAAGAGCATTCAAGAAAACAAATTACAGGTACAAAGCCTATTGACTAGAGGACAGGAGACCCTCCCCCAAGCAGGATGCCTGCCATAGGCTTGTTCCCAATCAGCAGGGAACAAAAGACCTTTCATTTTACCTCACCAGAGAGATCTGTTAAACTCCAGGTCTCTTTCTCCAGGGAGGTCCCACTTATGAACCTAGACACTACCCTGCCAGGCATAAAACGGAACAGATATTTTTCCCCAGAAGTCCAAACTCCCAGTCTACCCTTTCCCCCTCGAGTGGCGATCTGAAGTTCTGCCCCCTGCAGAGCATACAGTGTTTGGTCTGTCCTGAGAGACTTGGGCATAGTGTGGACCACCAACCATCAGGACAGAATCTGTGACTAACAGGGAAAAAGAGGGTGTGGGAAGAAAGGGACACTCGGCGGAAGGAGGAGCAGTCTCCTGGTTTTGACTATGCCCGGCCAGTGGTAGTGTTGACCCTCAGTTCCGGCTGTGTCTGGTGGGACAGGGTACCGAACCCCCAGCACCCACAGCAAGAGAGTGGTTGCTCCATGTGGACTGAGTTTGGCAGACAGGGCTGGTCCCTGCTGGGCCTGTGAGCAGAGGCTTGATAGGCATGGACTGCGACCTGTAAACAAAGGCATGGTGTGATCTCCTAATTCCAACAGAACCCTCAAGCAGTGGCATACTGGGTGTGAAGCAAGCCCTGAGGGCTAGGGTGTGCTCCACTGCCTCCAGTGGGGCTGGTGAGCAGAGGCTTACCAGGTGAGAACTGAGACCTCTGGGAGGAGTGTGGTGCCCTGACTCAAAGAGAGCCTGTG